GATTCTGGCACCCAACATCACAACAAGATGATATTTTAAGCTCCTTATGTAGCCGAACCTGCGCTGGTTTGAATGGGCTGCCTCCAGTTTCCCCTTTGTTTTGCTGCCTCCAGCTAGCGTTGTGTCATCGGCTGACCCTAGTTACCTGTGGTTGGCCTGGCCGTGCGTCACTCAGAAAACAACAGACCAATCAGAAGAGAGGAACATGAATATTAATTAGACAGGCCAAAATCGACCTGTTCTCAGCAGAGCTCCTGAGAGAGGAGCTGTAAAAATATATTGAGATGGTTTTTGGTACTTATACCGCAAATATATATTCTTAAGGACATCAAAATCTAAAATAAAACTCCAGAAAGGTGTACAATATGTGACCTTTAAATAAATTAAAAGACTTTGATTTTGAGTACCCTAAAATCCTCAACATATCTGTATAATATAAAGCAGTCGTAACATCTTTGCATCATCCTGTTTATACTTATTGTAAAGATAGTGAAATTAAGTCAGAGACTTTGGAAAGAATCTCATGACATATTAAACATCCTCTTTGATAGGAATGCACGATATTATCGGACCAATATCGGAATCAGCCGATAATGGCTTTAAATGTAAATATCGGCATGGCCGGATATGAAAAATTATGCTGATATGTCTTGCCGATAAGAGGAATACATTAACTCACATGTGCTCAGGGTGTGCTAGCGATTAGATCATGTCAGCAGTATGGCTCATTCTTGAAGCAAAGTTTTGCCTGAATGATGATTAAATTCACTGTTTTGGATAGCTGCATTTAAACTGAGAATGCACATACAGAATGAAGCGTTCTGTGTATGATAGAGTAAACAGTAATAGCACGTGCAGCGGCAGCAGCGTCAGCCTCCCCCGGGTCCTAATGCCCGTTCGGTAAGGAGTTTTAATTCCGTAGGAGGCGCTGTTGGCCTACTTATAATAAAATTAAAGCAAAATACACAATTAATATTTAGACTGTGTTTCTGATTAAATAAAGCAGTAATTGATGCCATAAAATCATGAGTATGTTTTGATTTAAAGGTCAGAAGCTTACATGAAAAAAAAATTAAATAATTTTATATACACTAATAATAATAATTAATGCATTTAGCAGACGCTTTTATCCAAAGCGACTTGCAGTGCATTCAGGCTATACATTTTTTACCAGTATGTGTGTTCCCTAGGAAACAAACCCACGACCCTTTGCACTGTTAACACAATGCTCTACCACTGAGCCACAGGAACATATACTGATTTATTAATTAATGTGTAATATGTTATTTTTTTAAACAAATTATGAGCTCTAAAATATTTTGAGAATTTTTACAGCTCGTTTGCTTTAGACAATTTACAAATGTTAAATCATAAAATAAAATGTTATGGTTACCACTGCATCTTTCTGGGAAAAAAACGCAGTGATTAATATATAGTTTATTTATAGTTATTTTCAAATCTTCAATGTACTGTCGTTATAAAATAACTTTATTATTGTTTATTTAATTCTAACAAATAAATTCTTGTTAAAATTAAAAATAATTATATATCAGTATCGGCATCGGCTATTGGCCAAAATGAGGGCTAGATCATTTAATGCTTTATGATGGGGCTAGATCATTTAATGCTTTATACACAAATAATAAAATCTTAAAATGGATCCTATGCTGCACCGGTAACCAATGAAGAGATGCTAGGACAGGAGAAATGCTTTCTCTCCTCTTAGTACCAGTCAGCAACCTCGCGGCTGCATTCTGGACTAACTGCAAGCGATTCAGTGATGAATGATTGAGACCCATATAAAGTGCATTGCAATAATCAAGTCTGGAAGTGATGAAGGCGTGAGTAACTATCTCCAAATCCTTAAACGAGAGCATAGATTTTAATTTGGCTATTTGCCTTAGTTGAAAAAAGCTGCTCTTCACCACAGCACTTATCTGTTTTTCAAATTTCAGATCAGTGTCAAAAATCACACCTAAGTTTTTAGCAAAAGGATGAATGTTTGATGACATAGAATCTAGATTAATAGTGATATCAGAGACAGCACCTGGGGGTCCAAAGACAACAATCTCAGTTTTGCCAGTCCAGCCTTTAATATCTTCAAAGCAATTAAAAAGGTCAGAATAAGAGTGATCAGAGTTGAGAGGAATGTAGATCTGAGTATCGTCAGCATAACAATGATATGAAATATTATATTTCCTCATGATCGAACCCAAGGGGAGCATATACAAACAAAATAAGACAGGCCCCAAGAGGGACCCCTGAGGTACCCCATAGGTGAGCGGTGCAGAAGGAGAGGACGAGTGTCCAATCATCACCTTAGCTGATCTATCGGAGAGGTATGATGAGAACCAATCCAGTGCCGTGCCCCTAATGCCAACTTCATCCCTTAGACGATTAAGAAGGGTAGCATGATCAACTGAATCAAATGCAGAACTAAGATCAAGTAGCATTAAAATAGCAGATTTACCGGCATCCAAAGCAAGGAGTAGATCGTTTGACACCTTCAGCAGTGCAGACTCGGTGCTATGATGGGCTCTAAAACCAGACTGAAATGTATCTAAAATATTGTTTTGTGAGACAAATGACGATAACTGATTTAAAACAAATTTTCATTAGTCCACTGTATGAAGAATTTTTGGGTATAATATGTCACAGTTAACTTTATTGTGCTATCCTCACTTACATAAATGGACTATAGTGTCCTGCACCCACTAGTAAAAAAAACATAAAAAATTATATCTGGTGTATGAATAATTTTTGGTTTGACTGTAAATCTGCCATTAGGAAATGTGATGTGAATTCGCCAATTGCTAGACATTTCCATTACCTTAGTCATGAAATTCATGAGAAAAAGTTAACTTGTATAAGATTTAAAAAAGTAACAAACCATAGAAGAAAAGTAGAAAAATGACTTTTGCAATGTGAAGCTTACTGGATACATCGATTAAAATCCATGTCCCCTTTAGATCTCTCGTTTTCTTTAATTATGATTTGTATATGTATCAGTATTGTCATTTTTTTCTTTGTGTTGTAAAAAAGACTGCATTTTACTCTGTTCTGTTCATTATGAATGACCTAAGTAGCCTGATGCGTCGGATCGCCCTCTGCTCTTTCTCTAATTGAAGGTTTGAAAAAATGGTTGTGTTTGGATGTTTTGTGACTTGAAGGTTATGGTTTGATAATTTTTTGTGTGTTAATGCACTGAGTGTTTTGTAATGTTGATGGGATTTTGGAGTTTGTCTGGTTGTTAGGATGTATCGACTTGAGATTGCTGATTTAGTCTGTTAATACGCTTGTGATAGGAAGCACCTGTAATGGGAGTTTCCAAATAATGCTCATTTATACCATTTCTTTTAAAATAAACTCTTTGTGAAAGTATTATTGAATAATTCACGGAGGATGGCCGAGTGCTGAAATGTTGAATCCATTTGTGGTTTTTGTAAAAATCTACAAATCATTAAGAAATATACAAGTGAGTGCGGATCCTGCTTTTTTCATTTGATGTCATTATGATTTTTATTGGTCTATGCACCCAAGTACTGGTTTAGTGCAGTGATTTCACATGTTTTTGATTTGTTGTATGTCAAACATTTAAAAATTTTTTAAAGAAATGTAAAGTTTTGGAAGGATGTGGAATCTTATATTGAGGATGATTAATTAAAACAATTGTGTATTTTAAAGATACAAAAGAAATTAACGAAATAAAGATATTATTCAGATAAATCATAAATATCATGGGATTAAAGAAAACAATAAGTAAAGACATTAACATATAAAAGTGCAAAATATAGTACAGTTAATACTTTTACTGGGAAAACAGACTACCATATGCATGAAAATGTGACTTGTTGTAAACCATAATTTTATATATATTACTTCTATTCAGATTTTTTGGTTATTTCGGTCCATAAACTCAATCAAAGCCCCCCCCAAAAAAACCCTTGTGCATATATAAATTATTAATTAGACACTCAGTTACAACTCAGTGAGAAGTAAGCAGAAGTCATTGAATATTACACCACTTTACATAATTTCAAAATTTGCATTCATTCAGTCTCTCTACCTTTTTAGTCTGCCTGTTCAACAGTCAAACAACAGAAATTGTCATTCAACAATATCTCATTAACTTGAATAATTTATTCAACATATAATTTATATATAATCTTCCTTTAAGTAACAACTGTATTGCATTAAATGTTTTTGCAGGTAATGCATTAAAGGTTTTTGTTTTACCAGCTCACACGTAAACTGCTTTACAAAACAAATCACTTAAAATGGAAATCAATGCTACACGTCTCTGAAACATTTGAGGTAGTGAAGAGAATCTAAGTAAATCCATAGCCTACAATATTCATTGAAATGCTTACACACTTACATATTGTTTTAGGAAATGTTTATATTTGCATTTGATGTTATGAGTTCTTTCCACATCTTTCCAGTCAATGTTGCCTTGCCTTAAGTTCCAAAAACATGTGATTCATGTCGTGTGAAATGGGATCAAGCAAAGTAAATGCACAATTTTGCTAGAGCTGTGATGATGCCATTTTTGTTGCATGCAACCAAGCAAATTTTGTAATAGTGCTTGGTTCATTTCAATAACAGAAAATGTCAGAATCATTTAATTTAATGTGAATATCCCCAAATCCTTAACGGATGCAAAATTAACTTTTACATGATGTTTGCATATAATGTGTCTTAGCAGTGAGTGGACACAACCACCCTACAATGATAAAAATCCATTAACTACTTTTTTTAATCCCCCAAAAACCTAAACGGTCTCATAAGAGTCTTCAATTTTCTCCCGACATCTGAGCCACTGAGGACGCAGTGGATTAGTTTTGTTTTTGATGGTAATGCGCCACCGAATACACCTACATTCGTTTATGTCTGTGCAAATAATTTTACTCCAGACTGCTTTCTGAACGAGGGACAATTTTTTTTGCTAAAAAGATCAAACTCAAGGATGGATCAATAACCACTGTTCGTGATCCAGCTGCACCTCCAGAAGAAGTAAGTCTCACACTTCATATTTTTTATGATTATTTGGAAATCGCCTTTCCTCTTCCAAAGAAGAGAGGGGCGGGGTGAGCAGAGCTCATTAGCATTTTAAGAGACATACACCCAAATGGGTTTTGTTCATACTGACCATAAGAGCAAAATGGAGGAGGATGTTAAAACATTCATACAATCTTACCAAACTGTCTCCAGGTTACAGTAAGGACCCTTCAGTAGATCAGAGAGCAGATTCACTGCTGTGTCTCCTAGTTTATTCCATGACATATTCAGTTCTCTCAGGTGTGAGGGGTTTGATCTCAGAGCTGAAGCCAGAGCAGCACAACCTTCATCTGTGACTCCACAATTACTCAACCTGTAGAGAACAATGACACTCTTCAGTCTCTCAGTTCAGGATCTACAGCTCAGAGAAGTAGCAACTTCACAATCAGAAAGAGAGACTTAACCCACGACATGACTAACAGATCCAGTCTAAGGCTCAGACCCATTTCTGCATGCTGCTTGAGGAGGTTTAATATCATAGAAAAATTCAGAATATTTTAATTTCTTTATGTGAGTACCACAAAATATACAACACATCTGTATATAATATGAAAACATACTGAAAAAAAAACAACACATACTGAAAAGAATTCTGTAAGATAGGAATCAGTGAATGTCACATTTTTATGCAAATTTTGTGATATCACATTAAAAACAAATTCTGTCTTTAAGTGCATATGTACATTATGCTCCTGCAGACAGCGGCAGTCACTTCTGGAGGCACCACAACATTCTGCGTCATGTTCTGCAATTTTCAGTGGCACATGCCACTGAAAACTGGATGTGGCACTAAACATAGCGGCATGTGCCAGTTACTTCTTTGTGTAAGATGCCATGACACTTAATGTAAATACTGCCTCTCGATACAAGTTATTGTTTTATATTTTTTTTATGACATAGTCAAGCAAAAACATGAACAAGAGTGCTGATTTTTTCGAATATCAACACGATTTGCAGATGTAATACTGATTTTATACAACAGTTCAATAAACAAGAAGCGATTATTGCTAGTTATATTTTAGGCACATAGAATTATTGATATTGTATGCTTCTTATAGCATATTTTATTCACTTGCAGTTGCCAGTTTACATGTAACATCAGATGCAGTTTCTGTGTCACTAGCAGTGCAAAGATTTTGTTGATACTTATTTTATTTGATTGGTAACAGCCACATAGTGTCTTATTCTAATTGAAATGATGTTATTAACAAAATAATTTTTGTCAAGCTGGATCCTACATTTCTCTCATAATTGCTGAAATTATTTAACCATTTAATTATATAAGCTATTTAAAAACATTTCTTAGTACCACTGCGTGTGTGTGATTCTTGGAGAGATGATTTACCACAGTTTCTCAAGTTTACAGTGAGAATCCTTCAGTTGATCAGAGAGCAGCTTCACTCCTGAATCTCTTAGTTTATTTCCAGTCAGATCCAGATCTCTCAGGTGTGAGGGGTTTGACCTCAGAGCTGAAGCCAGAGCAGCACAACCTTCATCTGTGACTCCACAATGATTAAACCTGTAGAGAACAAGTATACTTTTTACTCTGACAGTTACAGCTCAGACAAGCAGGAGCTTCACAATCAGAAAGAGAAACTTAATCTATAGCAGAGTCGGTGGTTAGGCTAAGGCCATGGTCTGTCTGAATATTTGGTTCTGACTGGCTGGAAAATGTGTGTTGCCAGTGTAATGCACAGGCAATTCCAGTCAGTTTAATCAATGTTCGATATTAACCCTGGACACAGATTTGCAGTAACATGGATTTAACTTGATCTACTAGAGCCAATAATTTCAGAATAAATCCTTTACAACCTTTTCTTGAGTACCCAGAACAAGATAAACATCCTCCAAATGAAGGCATGAAATGACATTTGCATTAAATAGGATCTTAGACCTGGGGAGTTCACAGCCTATTGATGAAATACGAGAACATTTTGTATGAAAGGCCCTGAGAAGAGAAAACTCTCTGACCTTTATTACCTTTTTTAGTCTATTTCTATGGGGATGAGACCATTGTACCAGTTGCACTGAGACATTTCAAATGATACCAAATATGATTGTGAAAATCACTTTGGGTTCACGCAAAACATCGCGTGAACTGAATTAAATGAAGGATCAGTAAAGGCAATTGACAACGGTCATTATCAGGAAATATGAGAATGTTATGACTGACCAGTCAGAATCCAGTATTCCATAGAGTCGTGTAATAAATGATTTTAATGCATGACGTGGAGGCAAAGAACAACTCGATGTGAAGAGAAAGATGTGTGTGTGTGTGTGTGTGTGTGTGTGTGTGTGTGTGTGTGTGTGTGAATTACCTGCGTCTCCACAGCATCTCTCTACTAATAGTGAACCTTTAACTGTAATTACTTGAAAACAGCAACGTTACCACCTCATTGTAGCTTTTTAGCATGGGCAGCCTATTAAATAGTATCAGACATAACCTCTGACTTAAGATCAGACTGGTGAGTTTGTGACCGTGAGATCCACGTTAACAGCCAACGCAAGATAACATTGAAATTTTTGTTTAGCATCTCAACCGATTTGAATCGTCACATATTTGAATCGATTTTCAACCGGCTCGCGGTTAATCATTACATCCCTAATTGAAATCCAAATGAACAAGCTCAATTTAAAGTATAGAATTAAAAAGAATAATCAAGTGTCAGAATAAATTATTTTAAAAAAGAACAATAATTAAAATGGCATTTGAATCTAAATTTAGATTGTAATTGTAATTAAAGAACAAACTGCAATAACACACGTGTTACACACAAATGACATGGAAAAGACAGAATGCTTTTAAATAAATTAATGAATAAATTAATACTTACTTCAACATAAACTAATGATTAGTGAAGGCATGAACTAATTAAGAATGAGTAAAGTGTTACCCTAACAGGGCAATTTTTTTAGTCTTTAGGTTTTGTTTATTTTGTTCATTATTGACCATATGAAGAAAATGAATGAGAATGTTGACACATTCATACAATCTTACCACAGTGTTTCCAGTTTACAGTGAGGATCCTTCAGTAGATCAGAGAGCAGATTCACTCCTGAGTCTCCTAATTCATTCAACGACAGATGTAGTTCTCTCAGGTGTGAGGGGTTTGATCTCAGAGCTGAAGCCAGAGCAGCACAAACTTCATCTGTCACACCACACTTACTCAACCTGTAAAGATTGAAGATGCATGGTGAACTGATACTAGCTGCAGTTATAGAATAAAATGAGTTTATTAACAAAAATTTGGAGAGAGATTACATCTGTTAGGGGAGGAGCCACTCAAATATTTGCAGCAGCAGCCCCTCAGAGTTCAATTTTACCTATTGTTCATAATTGACCAGCACAAATAGAAATAATAACAATTGGTAAATCTGCTAAAAAAGACAAAATCATCCAAACAAAATTAATTGTTTTATATATTCAAAAATACAAATGTATCTAAAATAAAAAGAAATTTGGCCCCAGACAAGCCAATTGAACAGCAGTGCTCATTGTACATATTGTACACATACAGGAGGATTGCAGAACTTGCCCTGAGCATGTATGTCAAGCGGTGTGTGTCTGTGTGTGTGTGAAAGAGAGAGAGGGAGAGAAAGAGAGAGAGAGAGTACACATTTCAGCTTATGAATGGTGTTTTGTGTTGTAAGTGTTTTGTTGCACATTTTGATGCCTTGATGACAGTTTCAGGGGCTCCCACTTAAAGCACTGTGGCTCAAGGCCTGCCATTTTCACCATCGTGATGGATGATAGCGTTCTGTCCAGAGCCAAACTGTTCCTAATTTTGGTTTTGTTCAAACCCACCATGGAGAACACTCTCTCTGCATCTGCATTTGAGTGGGGAAGCCACAGTGCTTTAAGTGGGAGCCTCCGACCCCTGTCATCAAGGCATCAACATGTGCAACAAACACTTACAACACAAAACACCATTCATAAGCTGAAATGTGCTTTCTCTCTCACTCTCTCTCTCTCTCTCTCTCTCTCTCTCACATCACAAACCTATAGAGAGGGAGGGGAGAGTGAAAACGAGAAAAAACTAAATGAGCAAAGCAAAGCGGAACAAGAAATTGTGAAGTCTCATTAGTACCACATTTATCGTCTTCTTTGTATGGTTTTAAACACTGACTAGGTCAGATCTTTTCAGGCACCTCAAGGGAAATCAGCATTTGTCAGTGCTGAAACCAGCTCTGTTCTAAACACA